ATATTAATTTTAAATAACATAAATGCATTATTAAGTATTATAACTTACTTAATGATAATTTCGAACTGTTGAATAGAAATATGTGATTTTAAATTAATTCTTGTAATGTTATTTGTATCTTTGATGGCGTTTTCTAATTCATTCTGAAAATATTTAGACCTATATTTCAAAATTGCTGTGTATGCCTTAAATTCTTTGGCATTCGGAGATTTTCCCACATTAATAATCACATTATAATCTTCTCCTTTCTCAAAAACTTCAATAAAATTATTCGAAAGTTTTTCAAATAGTTTGATTACCATATTTTAAAAATTAAAATGAAGTTTTCGTCGTACATGCAAAATGTGAATCTGTACTACGTATATAGCATTTACCGTCATCAAATGATTTGTACTACGTACGTACGTCTGTTTTCGTGGGACTAACTTACTGAGTGTTACGTAGGGTTTTAACAATTTACGAGTATCGAATTTGACCCTGAAAAATTGTTATATTACAAATTGAAGCTGGTATGCGATTATTTTCTACCTAGGTTATAGCATATAATGAAAAAAATATAACATTTTTTTAAGAGAATAAAGAAGACGTTAATATATTATCCTTACTATGAATTATTCCCTTCTATCTTTCCTTATGCACGATATTGTAACCTATTCCCTTCTATATATGCATATCAACCGATTTAGTTTGACTCCACAATTAACCAATCATGATTGAGAATTATTTGCGTTAAATTTATTAAAGTAAATTCTTACAAAAATGGTGATTAAAACTTAATTTGAAGTTATAATTAAGTGTAAAGTGTATTGTATATCTATTTTTTAATTATTGGCTGAAGGTAAGTTAAAATGCCATTTTCTTAAAAATTACTTCCGAATTAACCCTTAGACATTACTCAACTAATCGTTCAATGACAAACCATCCTTCACTACCCGAGCGCCTCAACAAATAGTGATATTGCTTCTTTCACAGCTTGCATAGTTGTATATATTTATAATTTGTCCCGAATTGAGGCTATAAGAAAAAAAAACTTTTTTAAATATTTCATTCGCTATTTTCCCGCCATTTAAAAAGTTTGTGCAACGGGTTTATCGAAAAAAGACTAGGGTCCGTCTGGTCCAAAGACCGAACAGTCTTTTAAATGGGACCGGAATGCGGTCCAGGACTGGACGGTGTAATAGGGAAAGATCGTCACCGAGATAACTCGGGATAATTTTTGCTCGATTTGTTTGGTAAATCTACCAAATCTGCCGGATATGGCAGAATCGGTAGATCAGGTAGAAATAGCCGAAAGAGTAAATAATGTAAACCAGGCAGATAAAGAAGATGCGTTAGAATAATCCTCTTAACTGAAAAATGTATATAAAGACACAATGTTAACTGAATAAAAATAACTCACTTCGAGTTCTAACTACGAAGTCATAAAAGTAGTAGTTCTCTTTTGCTTTATTTTCGTTTCATATTATTACCTTTGTCCCCGTGAGATAATATTTTCGTAGCGTAAGAATAAAGAGAGAGAATTAAACGATTAATACTTAAAACCCCTTTTATATTAAAGTAATAATTGATTAAACCCTGATCAATTTCGTCATTGTTCTACGATTACGTAGATCAATTGAAATTATCGTGATCTCGTGACACGTGATCTCAAAATAAGCAGTAGACAAGAAAGAAAGAATACGTAGAGTTATAAGTATTATATTGACATAATACAATACACACTAACATCAAATAATAAGTAAAAGGAAACTTATCTGAGTCCCGGCATTGTGACTACAAGACCCTAAAGCTCTGAAAACCTCGGACCAAGTCTTCCACGCCTCGATCGACGCCTACCAATTTTGGAGTTTCGGTCTTGCCGCTGCATAGATTTTTAGTAGTGTTTAGTTGTTTTGTTAGTTAGTTAGTCATTTGCCATTTGGTTTAGCCTTCTACAACGGACCGATTATTAGACTAATTAAATGCTATATAAGTTGCATCAACATATTGTATTTTTATCTGTTATTATTATAGACTCCATTCAAATTATTAGTTTATTACTTCTAACCGAATATAAACCTGCCTATTATTATTAGTAATGAAATACGCATGAATTTTGAGAATCTTGTGCGTACATAATTTTTGTGGGTATATTTTTAATGAACTTGTATTTAAAATTTTTATCATTGTTTAAAAATTAATAGATTTCACGTAATATATGTATTGTAATAATTTAGTTGAAGACTTTTATTTTTTTGGTTAATTAAACATCCAACTAAATTAGTAACATGATTGAAAAAGTCACTATATGAGGTTGGAGTATTATATAAATATTGGTTTAATTATACATGCGCCTGAATTACGCTAAAGAAATTTGCGGTTTTCTAAATTCAGAACAGTTATATGTAAGCACCAAACATGTAATCAAGTATTCACCGCTTAGCATATGACTTTATATCAACTCAATAAAAAGTGTTCTCACGACTATAATTAGATATTTTATTTATGTACATATCAGATCAAGTATCGCAAAATCACAGAATTAGATTATATTTTATTTATATAATTATCTATAACAATAAATTAATAATAACGATAACTGTTATCAGGACAGATGGTCCTTTCGGTCCGTTGTTATGCCTAAATTTTTAATTTTAGTTAGTGTCATGTTATTCTATTGTTATTCTATGTATTTCTTATATTGGTATAGATTGTTGCATAGTTGGGTGATTGAATCCCCAAGTGAGGGATTGAATCCTCAAGCGAGGGATTAAAACCCCATACGAATTAAAGGTAGACAATTATGAACGACTGAAAACGGTTATGAATAGTATTCAGTATTATTTTAATATTCCGATGTATTGATTTATGCAAATAAAGAGAAACCTTAACCTGTAATTATGTTAGTTTATTGATTTAAACCATTTAACCTTGACTACTATTTGTTCACGATCGAAGCTAAATTGATCCAAGACCCTATAAGCTCTCCCACCGGTCGTAACACCGTCCCCAAAAAGACAAGATCGGCGGTCTATCGGTTTAAGTCGGACTACTTAACAACCCTAAAAAAGACTAAAAATTAAATCGGCGGATATGTGATTTTGAGCAACCTGGGTCACAATTCTATCTTTGTGCAACTACTGCGCTCGATCGGGTTTCCCTAATATAGATATTGATTACTTTGTTTAATGCCAAGAATAAAAAAACGGGAACATCAAATATTGAATCAAATGTTACAGAAATTATGACGGTATTAACCAAGTTGCGTAATGCCTGCATCAATAATCAAAACACTATAAACTGCGACAATCAAAAGAAAAGCTTTGAATAATTTTTTATGACATTTCATATTTCCGTAATTTTAGATTATAATTTTCGTAAGAAAATTTGTTTGAATAGCGTTAGTAAATCTAAAATTTATTATTCTTATTGGTTAAATGGATCATCACATGAACGGAAAATCGATCTATGCATTTTATGCATTTTTGCGTTACTACAAATTCTCATAGTACTAAATCGAGATTTCTAAATTTAATTTATAATTAGTCACCAAAAATCATATGAATGATAATTTTTATTAGTAATTTATGCAGATGGTTTACTCACCTTGCATACCCCATACGTAAATAAACAAATCGTGTGAACTTTTTAATAAATCAAACTTTGAATAAATAAAGAAAAAAAAAAGTTGATACTTTTATTTGATTTTACTTGGCCTCGACAAAATGTCTAGCGAAAAACCAATCCTTTATTCATATTATAGGTCATCTTGTAGCTGGAGAGTTCGTACTTGTTTAAACTGGAAAGGAATTGACTATGAATATTGTCCTGTTAATGTGATGGAAGGAGCTCAGGTAAATTTGACCGATTTTTTTTGAATAAAAAAAAGAATGTTCTTTTCTACAATTTATTTTATAAAAATTATTAGAATAAAGAAGAATATTCAGAGATCAATCCATATGAATTCGTTCCAACTTTAAAAATTAATGGTATTGTATTAAGTCAATCAGTTGCGATACTTGAATATTTGGAAGAAATCCGACCAGAAAAGCCATTATTACCCAAAGATCCATATAAAAGAGCTCTGGTATAATTAATTATCATAAATAAATATATATATATATTTGTTGCTAGCCTTGAAATTCTCGAAATGATCAAATTTTTGTTATCTAATAGGTTAGATCTCTAGTTCAAGCAATCGCAGGTGACATTCAACCGCTTCAAAATCTTAGGCCTATAAACTTTATTGAAAGCATTGGAGGTGATAAAAAAGAATGGATTAATTATTGTATTGGTCGAGGGTTTGCAGGTATTTAAATACAATATTAAATATATATATATAATTACATTATGGCACAAAAAGTATTTACTTATCTGAATTTATTTTAAAGGAGTTGAAAAGCAACTTTCAAAATCGTCCGGTAAATATTGTGTTGGCGACGAAGTTACTTTAGCAGATGTTGTTCTTTTGCCACAGGTTTATAATGCTACCAGGTTTGGAATCTTTTTTGTTTTATAAAATATTCAAAAAATGTTTAATATTTAATCATTAATTGATAAAATCATTTTTTTAGATTTAATATTGACATGACAAAATTTCCTTTAATCCAACGAATTGCAAATGATTTGTCCGAATTGGATGCTTTTAAGAAAGCTAATCCACAAAATCAAATCGATTGCCCTGCTGAAGAAAAAAAATAAGATTTTTGATATTTAGCTTAAATCATAGTAAATTGTGATCGTTTATTAAATATGTCGCTTTAATAAATTTATCAAATTTCGGTATTACGATAAATTTTATCATGATTGTATGAACAAAACCTATAATTCGGTTAATACACTGTTTTGAGTTATTATCGAGTGTATGATTTTTAAAATCATCAAAACAAAGTAACAAGAGATGCACACAGCTTTAAATGTTCTCAAATAATGGAGATAATTTTATACATGTCAAACGTGAGCGATGAAGATTTTAATTATAAATTTATGATTTTGTCGTGTTAAAAGAAATTAATCCCCCAAAAATAACCTCGAATTTTTTTTTTTTTTATAGAAACGATAGTCTATTAATCTCCTTTTCTAGGGCCAACTAATTATTCTTTTTTTTCAAACAAATTTCCTAAAAACTGAAATACTCTTCTACTTGATAACACCAAATAAGTTGTCAAAGTTTTTACGGTCTCGAGAAATTTTTTTCCAACTCAAATTAAAAATTAAAGCAACTTTTCTGGATATGCACTCGACAAATTCATTATTTAAAAACCTGCTTAACTGTGTAAACGTCTTGTAAATTATATAAACAATCAATTTCTCGAAAAATAGTTTAAATCACATTTGTTATGGAGAACTACCGGAAATTCAAAAAAAAAAAAAAAAATCCGAGCCTCATAAACCTAACCTATTTCTAACGAAAGAGACTAAAATAAGTTTTATGTTCACAAATCGTATAAACATACATTATTTAAAATTATTCATTTCTTACTTTCTTATAACAAAGGTTTCGCTTGAACCACTTATTATATTGATAAACACCCAACCTCAAGCTTAAACACACACCACCGCTTATAAAAATAAATAAGGGATGATTCCCTTAAAAAAATTGCTCCCCGACCTCCCGAAGGAGGTCGTGGAGACAGATTATTGGTATAGTTTGCAATTAGCAATAATCTGGCCTCGGATAAATCCTCACTGGCGCAGATAATGCCCGTGCACAAAGATGAGGATCTATTTATCCAACGTTGGTGCCTATTTATAAGAAATGGAATGATATGCACAAATGTGGGATTTGTATGTACTAGATTATTTCAATGACGTAATTGCATATCAAATTCAGAAATTAGTAATCACTAGTCATGTGAGTAACGCCAAGTTTATAAATATGCATTTGGGTTTCATTTTACGGGATTCAATTTCCGATTATACTACATAGAACTTTACAGGTTGTTAAAAATTAAATAGAACTATCGGAAATTGTATTTCGTAAGATAAAACTTTCAAATATATGAATGCGAACATAATATATAATTTAATTTTTGATTTAAAAGGGTGGAAGATCGACTTTCTGAGCACGTGATGGTCCGACCAAAGTTAATGTAAATCGAGGTTAAATGTAACAAAAAAAAAAATTCTCTTCGGGATATTACGAAATTTGACCTAATACTTTTATATTTTAATAAAATTTTTTTTTTATGAAACTTATAATACTGAAATATAGTCGCTTCCTAACGCTAACTCTAAATTTATCAATCATTAATGTAAACTAAATTTTTCCTGACAATCTCTATCAAATTTGGAAGCAATCACGGGTTTTAAAAATAGCTTTTAAGTTAGATTAGATCGACAGGCTAATAATAAATGACGATTTAAGTCTTACGATTATTTTAAAAGAAGACCGCAGTTCATCTATATAATTATATGATTGTTATCCGATTTGTGATTATACACTGAGTATAACTACGGCTACGAAACAAAACCAATGAGTTGTGTTGAAGAATGCACTCTATAACACGAAATAGGATAACAACCAGCGCCTAACCCACTATATTAATTTGCCGGCCATTTACTGCGCCATTGCTATTGTTTAAAGTGTTCTTTTTGATTCACCGAAATAGTATATTGTACATCTTATTGTTTACTATACCGGCCAATTACTATCTAATCCACTATAGATCAAGAATGGTACTTTCGAATGGCCGGCAAATCAATATGGTGGGTTAAGCCCTGATAACAACCACTACATTTTTGCAAACCTCAATAAATAGGTTATTATTTTTTATACATATTGCAGGCAACTTTTCTATAAAAAACTAATGGAAGAAAAGGACTCGTAATAACAAAATTAGTATATTACGTATACAAATATAAAATTTTGATGTTTTCATATCCAAGATTCGCTATAATGAGATTCATATAAAGAATATCGACCATATCTGAGAAGTCCATTTTTTATAAATACAGTAATACTTAATTTATTTTACAATGACCAATGGGAAGTAACAAAAAAAGTGTGATTACATCCACCAAAACTAATGATTTAATGTTTTTAGTAAATTAATATGTAAGTACATGTCGTAAAAAGATTTGATGATGGGAATTATAGTTTATTCCGTAAGATATGTCTAGGAAGTAAAGTAAATACATCTTAGTGACGCCAGCCTAATCATGAAAATTTCACTTTTTGAACGCTTTCATTTCATTATCTTTAATCGTAACTTTTAGGTCACGCAAAGTTGATTTTCGTTTTGCATTGCCCGCCGACCCATTTTTTTTCAATTTTCATATATATATATATATATATTTTAAGTCCCAATTGTGTCTTTATTCTATTTTGCCATTTAATTTTTCCATGAATTATCCAATAGAGACCTATTTTCCAGAATTGTCCGAAAAAACTGATAAAAAGATTCGACTGCCGACCAATGTTGGAAATCATGTGTTTACAATGAACATAAATTTTTTAAAAATCCATCATTTTTTTATTTTATATTTATATTTGTGAACATAAATAATTTTTATCTAATTAATAAAATTTTATTTGTGATCATTGTTCACAAAAATCATCTTGATTTCTAACACCGCTGTTGACCCAATTTTCTGATTCCATGTTATGCAAAGCGAAAATTAACTTTGCGTGGTCTTAAATGTGAACATGAGTCTATTAATTTACTGTAGATTAAAAAAAATACGACCGACCGGGATTTTGAAATCCATATAATGCAAACCGAAAAATCAACTTTGTGTGACCTTATCTTAAATCATGGCATTGTTGTAGCATATCAATATAACAGTGCAGTAATTTTATATAACGAACTTTTATTCTTCCTAGACCAGTCAAAAGAATTGATCATAATTTTTTTTTATAATGATTAAAGTAACGTCAAATATAATTAAAAGCCAAGAAATTTTTTCATAGAGAATAAAAATAAGTATCGGAAAAGTTGCTTAAACAATAATGAATTTTTAACAGATAAACCAGGTTTAAAAGATAATATTAAAGCAATTTAATGAGCTTGGAGTTTTTTCATGAAAATTGTAATAATATTTGTTTTTTTTCGAACACGTAAAACATTATACTGTATTGCCTTAAGTTTTTTTTTTTTTTTTTTAGCGAATATGAATTATAAGCTGGTAGTTACATAAAAACCGTTTTCAATCGGTGAAATTAAAGAATCCTCGGATCGATTAATAATTGATAAGATCTGTGATTGATGCAGAACAAATCTATATCATGTGCAAGGTGAACTCAACTAAAAATGCGAAAAATAACAAAATGGAATTATGTAATTAAAAAAAAATTAACATCAATTATACCTTTATAACAAAAAAAAAAACATTCTGAACAATGGTCTAAAATAAAAGCGTTAGAAAGTGATCTAACTAAGAGTTTGGAGACTAATAGGACTTGTATATTAGACTGGACAGTTACCATTCTAGGTTACTAGTTCAGGAAATTGAATTACAGAGCTTTAATTCAAGCACAGAACTACATGATCCTATATATAAAAAAAAATCATACAGTAGCTTCGATCTTAAGAAAAAACATTGTGTTACCTAAGTAGCGTTAGTGACCTAAAAGTTCTGTAAGCAGTAAGTAGTACAGCTGTACATTTAAATATTTAAATCAGATTCGGATTTTCATTATTTTAACATTCAAAAAGAAAATGAAGAAAATTTACAATAAGATCTTTCATCATAAAAAATCAAAAGTGTTAGACCCTTATGATCTTGGATACAATTATCAACATGGAATAGGGGTTGAAAAGGATGAAAATAAGGCATTTATTCAATATCAGAAATCTGCTAAAATGGGAAATGCTAAGGGAATGTATAAGCTTGCAGGCTGCTATTTTTATGGAAGAGGAGTTGAAAAGGATGAACATAAGGCATTAGAAAATTATCAAAAATCTGCTGAAATGGGAAATTCTAGTGCAATAAATCAAATTGGATATTGCTATTTACATGGAATAGGGATTGAAAAGGATGAAAATAAGGCATTCATTCATTATCAAAAATCTGCCGAAATGGGAAATGCTAGCGGAATGAATGGCTTTGGATATTGCTATCGACATGGAATAGGAGTTGAAAAAGATGAACATAAGGCATTCATTAATTATCAAAAATCTGCTAAGATGGGAAATGCCCCTGCAATATATAATCTCGCATATTGTTATCAATATGGAATATGGGTTGATAAAGATGAACATAAGGCATTCGTTAATTATCAAAAATCTGCAGTGATGGGAAATACCTCTGCAATTTATGCGATATATAATCTCGCGAATTGTTATAGAAATGGAATAGGAGTTGAAAAAGATGATCATAAGGCATTCATTTATTACCAAAATCTGCTGAAATGGGAGATGTTCATGGAATATATCAAACCGGATATTGCTATCAGAATGGAATTGGGATCGAAAAAGACAATTATAAAGCATTTCTTCATTATCAAAAATCTGCTGAAATGGGCAATGCTACTGCAATGAATAATCTTGGATATTGCTATCAACATGGAATAGGAGTCGAAAAGGATGATCATAAGGCATTCATACATTATCAAAAATCTGCCGAGATGGGAAACTCCAATGCAATGAATGGCCTTGGATATTGCTATCGACATGGAATAGGAGTGAAAAAAGATGAACATAAGGCATTCGTAAATTATAAAAAATCTGCCGAGATGGGAAATACTGCTGCAATAAATAATCTCGCAGATTGTTATCTAAATGGAATAGGAGTTGAAAAAGATGACCAAAAGGCATTCGTTAATTATCAAAAATCTGCTGAAATGGGAAATTCTAATGCAATAAATAATCTCGCAGCCTGTTATAAAGATGGAATAGGAGTTGAAAAAGATGACCAAAAGGCATTCGTTAATTATCAAAAATCTGCTGAAATGGGAAATTTTAGTGCAATAAATAGACTTGCATATTGTTATCGACATGAATCGGAGTTGAAAAGATGAACAAAAGGCATTCGTTAATTATAAAAAATCTGCTGAAATGGGAAATTCTAATGCAATAAATTATCTCGCAGCCTGTTATAAAGATGGAATAGGAGTTGAAAAAGATGAACAGAAGGCATTCGTTAATTATCAAAAATCTGCTGAAATGGGAAATTCTAGTGCAATAAATTGGCTTGGATATTGCTATCAACAAGGAATAGGAGTAAAAAAGGATGAACAAAAGGCATTCATCTATTATCGAAAATCTGCCGAATTGGGAAGTGTTATTGCAATATGTCTAGTTGGATATTGCTATCAATTTGGAATAGGGATTGAAAAAGATAATTATAAAGCATTTCTTCATTATCAAAAATCTGCCGAGATGGGATATACTAACGGAATGTCTAAACTTGGTTATTGTTATAGAAATGGGATTGGAATTTCGAGAGATTTACAAAAGGCTGACCATTGGTATCAAATGTAAATAATCTATTTATTAAATTTTTACTGTAATTACAATTCTTTAACATGCATTTTCTAATAATAATTAGGGCAAAAAAAAAGTTATTGGGTAATTTTATTTAATTTACTTTCGATATAGTATAAATTTATTTGCTAATGTTTTTTTAGTCATAGATGAATGGACAAAAGAAAATTTTAACATTGATGATGATATTAAAAAATTTTTGATTTAGGGAAAATATCCACTATCATGGATTTCATATGAGGAGTTTATACATATTAGAAAAATAGGAAAAGGTGGATTTGCAACAGTATTTTATGCCAAATGGTTAGATAAAGAACAAAATATTTGGAGAGATGTCGCGCTCAAATTGATCGATGGATCAAAATCTTTTAATGAAGAATTTATAAAAGAGGTGATTTTTATTTATATGCTCATTATTTCTTGAATAAAATTTTAAATATTGCATTAAATACTTTATTTTTTTAATTGACATTAAAGTTAAAGGCATATTGTGATATTAGTTCTAAACATCCATCATTTTTAAAATGCTATGGAATATCTAAAGATGATTCTGGAGATTATATCCTTGTCCTAGAATATGCAACTAATGGTTCATTGCGTCAAAATCTTCGCTCGGTAGCACAAATGAAATGGAAGGATAAATTAACATTATTGCATTGTATTGCTTCTGATATTCAAATAATTCATTCTCAAGAACTTATTCATCGAGATTTGCATAGTGGTAATATTCTACAAGAACATTTACATAGCGCTTATATTGCAGATTTGGGACTTTCTATATCATCAAATATAGCACTAAATACTGAAAAGCATGGAATATATGGAATTTTACCGTATATAGCACCAGAGGCTTTAGATAGAGGTCATTATTCAACAGCATCAGATATTTATTCATTTGGCATAATTATGTGGGAAATATTATATGGAAAACCTGTATCTTATAATCGAGAATTTGGACAGCGGCTTCAAATTGAAATATGCCGTAATGATTTGCGACCAATAATTATTGGGAACATACCACAATGTTATCTAAACTTAATGAAAAAATGTTGGGAAAGGGAAGCAGTAAACCGTCCATCAGCAACAAAAATCTGTGAAACACTTGAAGAATGGCAGAGTGACGAAAATATTTTATTAGAAACAACTAAATCGGATGAAGTATTGAAAAATATTAAAAGTACACATATACAACCGTATTCTGAAGATATTTATAAAAGTAAATTTATTAGTTATACTACATCGTTTTATCAAGGTATCTATATTTATTATTTAATATTAAATAAAATTTATTCTATAATATTAATTATAATTATTTAACAGATAGTGAATTGAATGAATTAAATATGGATTAGTTGAATATTAATGAATGATATAAATACAGTATACTATAATTTGAAAAAAATGGTTAATGTAAATTTCATTTGTTTTAGGTTTAACTATTGACTGCTTGCACATGCCGCAAAATTTACATACTATATTTCATTTGCCTAGTACTATTAATTTTTTTTTTCTAAGTTACTATATAACATCTTAACTTTGTAGATTCTTCGAAAAATAAATTCTTTAATAATTCATTCTCAAACAGTAATATATACTAAAGTGCATTTTGAAAAATGCACTCAATTTGAATAATTAAATACGGTGGTTTGAACTGACCAAGTTTATATAGTATCAAGCAAATGTACTATATATGTTTGGGGTGAAAAAAAAATGGTCTAATTAGCTTTTTAGATTTTTTTTAAATCATTTAAAAAAAAAAAACCTTTTAAAACATTGACGCTGAGACTAAAATTTAGTTGGGCTAAAATGCCGATTCTGATTAGTTAATTAGAATCACCAAGTTTCGTAGATATACCTTTTAAAGAAAAATATTCGCTTTATAAACCTTCGTTCATTATATAATTACAAGAATATAACTATATATATATTTATATATTTATTATGTATGTTCTTTCTAATTTAAATGTATAACTATTTAATTATCATCATTTAATTTAGTTAATGTTATTTTATTTTCGTTTGAACAGAAGCTTGTGTATCAACATTATTCAAGGAATGTTTATACTTTTTGGAAACTTTGCTTTTATATAGGTGAGCTTTTAATAGCGACTAAATCCACAAAGTCCTCTCCATAAAGTAATATTTGGCGAGGTGTAGTCCGTAACTTTTGTAAAGTTCAAGCGAATTTCTTTTAATGGAGGTTTCCCACGGAGCATAATTGTTTATAGAGATAACTAAGTTGTATTTTGACGAAATTAGTTAAATAAATAAATACTACAGTACTATGATTACGTCAGAATGTATTAAATCATTTAAATACATTTTAAAATAAACAAACATGATTTTTAACATGCGTTTTAAAACATTTACCATCCTCATATATGCTGTATAAACTCAAATCCATATAATAATTAAACATTTGAATTTTATACAGTTAGCGGTAGACGTCTATTGCATTCTTTAGATTCATGTACATTAATCACTTTATTTCAACAAACTTTAAAAGTTCTTGAAATTAATTTAGTCTAGTAATTTGAGTTCTTTTATGCTGAAGATGGTATAAAGAAATCGTAAATGATATGCCATTGTTAAACGAGAATCGGTCATTAATTGTTCCGCAACAATCGTTCAAGCAACCACCAACAGGATACGGGTACGAAAGAGGAGGTTTGGTGAATGGTTAAATTAACGAATGTATTTTATAATATAAGTGGCTTAGGTACTTTATTATTTGGATAAAGCAAGAGCTCGTTAATATTCCTAGAGGCCAGTATGGCCTTTATTTATACTGACAATCATAAATTATGATATTTTGATAGTATTCACGTTTTTAATCTAAGCCTCATAAATAGTATTACTCTATCACGTGATAATTTATAATTTTATCAAGTTTTATCATGAGTATAGTCGGCATCACTAGTCTGCACGAACTTACATTAGTTTAATAAAACGCTATCAGAATGCGCCATTACTAAAGTCGTTAAATCTATTGTTGTCAATAGGAAATTACAAGAACTTGACGTTTGATATACTCTAATATAAAATAAATCGTTTATAATAATTAATCGAGACACACTACTATTTGCATGTGTAAGAAAATTAAAGATTACCATTTTTTCTACGCATGCACAACTTTATCCTATTTGTCTTACCAAATTTAAGTTGCCTTTGTCGTTATACGTAATATTTTAGTCAGTGAGAAAGTATAAATCTTCTGGTTCATTTATTTAAGAATTTTATAACTAGTTTCCAAATATTCATCACTTTAATTAGTTCGTCTTAATTAAATTACGAAAAAGTTGTAAGGACGAATATTATGACTTTTTTTTTCGACACAACCAATTCCCCGACAATCGGAATTTCTGAAAAATTTTATTTGACATACTTTTTCACCAACAAAACCCTTTCTCCGGACAACTGTTACCCAGACAAAATTTTTTCTGAATCCTTTTCACTGAAAAATATTTTGATATATTTCCCAAAAGAATGTTTCTCCGAAAAGATATTCCTCAAAAAGAAATTTCCTAACAAGATGTCTTCACGATTGAGAAAATTGCACAAATCAGGCAAATTAGTTTATACCTTTTTGGGTTATCAGGTGACTGTAAGTTCGGTAAAACATCCTTCAGTAAAAAGCTTTCAGTAATATATTTTCAAAGAAATTGAAAATCAGAAAAATGTACCATTCGGATAAATGGCATGTCAATAAAATATACATTCATCTTTTAATATACGGTGAAATGGAAATTGCAGATAAATGACTTATCTGTAAAATTTATTATCAATTAAATAATGTCTTGTTAGTAAAATAAGATGTCAGTATTATGACTTCGGTGAAATGGTATTTCAATAAAATTGATTTCGGGAAGTTAACCCATAACCTATCATGACAGGATTAATGCCTAATTTTTCACCTGTGTATTAAAATAAGGCTATTAAAATATGTTATTAAAACGAACGATTATTAACACATATATTGTAAGTTAAAATACAATAAAAATTGGTATTTTCTGTTCAAATTTAATAATGTTTACAAAATGCAATCATTCTATTAGCAATTATTTAACATACCTACAGTATAAACGCTGCTTGCTATTTTTTGGTTTTTTTTTATTTATGAATTCATGTAACTGTAACCAGGACGATCAAACCAACTTGACCACATTGTACTGCAAATAAAATGATAAATATGATATGAAAACGCCAAACAAATATTGTGCTAGTGTTTTTGTCATGGCAAAATTTAGGCCGACTGAAAAAGATAAGAAAATTATAAGTGAAGATAAAAAATACGCAATAATTATCAATAAGGTTTCTCGTTTATATGCTATTAGACTAATCAATTATAATGATAATGATAGAGTTACAATAATAGCAGTTAAAAGATTTCCTGACTTAGTAGGGTTTTATCCTACAAAAGAAGAAGCTAATAATAAAGCTAAAGATATTGAAATGAAGAAAGAAGTAGATCAATGTATATACGGAATTGAAACTCAAGAAGATAGTGTAAACAATAATATATTGATTATTGGGAGAACAGGTAGTGGCAAATCTACTTTGGCTAACGTAATTAGCAATTCAACTGAATTTGGAGAAAGTAAAAGTTCAGTTGTATGACTAAGACTTCCAAGTTAAAGTTTTTGATTGCGAAGGAACAAAATACAGAGTTGTTGATACTGTTGGAGTTTCTGATACAGGGCTGTCCCCGAAAATGGTTTTGATTAAGCTTACTGAGGCCATTTATTCGATGAAAGGGGATAAAACAAGTGTTTGCGGAATAGATGGGAGATTTACTGAAGAGCAAATAGAAGCTTTCGAAATATTAAAAGGAATTTTTGGTGATAATGTTACAAAATATACAACAATTATAAGAAGTAGGTTCGATAGCTTCCAATATCCCGATAAAGTTAGAGAAGATATAGAAGCTTTGAAATGAGCAAATCGAAGGATTTCTAATTTAGTTAATTCTTGTAAAGGCGTCGTTCATATTAATGCCCCTTCATTAACTAGTAGTGATAGAATACATAGAACTATATCTCGAAAAATTTTGCTAGATTATTTAGCTGCTTTCCATGGAAATTTCAAAATGGAATGTTGGGATAATATATGTGTTAGAATTAATGATTTTATGAATGCAAGAAAGAAATGGGGTGAAGATGAAATTTCAAATTCAATATTTCAAAGAGAATTTATTAGAAAAGAAATAAAAGGAATGGAATATGAAGTTATTGTAGTAGTGGAAGATGAACTTAGGTCTAATATTGAGGCTAAAGTGGAAGTATTAAAACATTGCTGCCCAATTAGTTAAAGTTTCGTTCGCTTTTTATTATAAATAAGCTAGTATATATTTGGTTAAGTTTTTTTTTGTCTTCTTCTCCTATCAATGCAAATTAGTAAACTTAAGATTAAAAAAAAAACTTAATTATTCATATTTGTTTTGTTACTTAAGATTAAAAAAAAAAACTTAATTATTCATATTTGTTTTGTTACTAGTTAAATTTTAAAGAGTGCAGCTTAATTTTCAATGTGTATACTGTTGCATGTTATGTATGTATGTTGCTAATGGTCGATTATAGTCGATAATCGCAATCACCTGTTATCGGTTAGCTGGTTTACTTTTATTTTGGCTAAGCAAGATTTCTATTTCCAGATAGTTTATATGATTCAATAATGTGGATACTCGCTACACGTTGTTATGGGTTGTATGACTTTAATATGGCAGTTGTCATTCTTTGAAAAACTAGCGTAGGTATACTTTCCTGATATTTGAAAACATTACTGCTGCTCCTACTTTCCTACCATTTTTGACATTAAAGATTATTCCTATGTGCTACTTGTTTTCGAAGATATTTTTAATTTTGACCTTGTTTTTCTTAAATATTTTTTAACTTGAATTATTTTTCAGTTGTTTGGTTGGATACTTTCTTTTTTAATTATTTGTTATTTTAAATAATTTTGCAGTTTTTTTTAATTCCATTATATAATAAAAAAATTTTTTATTTATTTTTCAAGACCTAATAATAAAGATTTCTTTTTTTTTAATCATTATAAATATTTTGTAAATTTTATTAATTGCTATGTATCTAATAAGAATGGATACTGCAAAGAGAGACTTGTTATCGAGTTTCAGTTTATTGCTTACAAACTTAGGCATAGTGTTTGACATATATATATAATTTAAACCTCTAGATGTTTTCTTTTTGTGGCCCAAAAACCGCACGCATGTCATATTTGTGGCGCAGATTTATGGTATCAATAATTCTTTAAAATTCTCGAGTCAGGTCTAATGATGCCTGACGAATGACGAAATAGTTTCGTCTAGACGAATGACGAAACCATTTCGTCAGGTAACTTTGAATTGACGAATGACGAATGACAAAACTCGTGACGAATGACGAAACTCGTGATGAATGACGAAACTCATGACGAATGACGAATGACAAAATGCATAATGAATCATGAATTTTATATGTAATACAGTCGTCCTCCCCTATAATCACACAGTTGGGCACGTACCTATCTGGTGATAGTATAGAGGTGTGACTATATAAAAGTACTTTTATATAATCACATTATATAAAATTATAAATATATGTGATTTAAAGAAGTAATTATTTTTTTTTTGATGTTAAAAGGTGAGGCCAAAGAAGTAATTATAAATTATATAATTAATAACAAATTTTGCTATTTTTACTCAAACTTTGACAATAGATATCTCGATAACTAGTAATCAAAATCGGCTCAAATTTACATTGTCGATAGTGGTTATATTCTTATATGGTATATAAAAATTTCAGCTGATTTGGTCTAATAGGTTTCAAAAAATCACTTGTATATGATAGTTAATTTTTTTTAAAAAAATTAACTATCATATACAAGTGGTTACTTGAGAACTACCAAACCAAATCGGCCGAAATTTTTATATATCATATAATAATATCTTTACTATATATGATAAAAATTTGAGCTGATTTAGATTACTAGTTATTGAGATATATATTGTCAAATTTGAGTAAAAATAACAAAAACTTTATTAAAAAAATTCACTATTTTTACTCAAAATTTGATGATAGATATCTTGATAACTAGTAATCTAAATCAGCTCAAATTTTTTATTATAGATAGTAATGTTATTATCATATGATATATAAAAATTTCAGCCGATTTTGTTTGGTAGTTCTCAAGTATACAATAGTTAATTTTTTTACAAAAAAGCTATTGTATATAATTGATTACTTAAGAACTACTAAACGAAATTGGCTAAAAGTTTTATATATAATAAGCGAATATAATTATTATCTATGGTAAAAATTTGAGCCATTTTGGATTACTAGTTATTGAGAAATATATTGTTAAAGTTTGAGTAAAAATAATAAAATTTTATAATAATTGATTAAAAAAATTACTATTTTAATTCAAATGTTGACAATGGATATCTTGATAACTAGTAATCCAATTCAGCTCAAATTTTTATAATATATAAATAAGTTATTATTCTATTATATATAAATATTTTAGCTGATTTGGTCTGGTAGTTCTCAAGTAATCATTTGTATATGATAGTTAATTTTTTTTAAAAAATTGACTATCATATATAAGTGATTACTCAAGAACTACCAAACCAAATCGGCTAAAATTTTTATATACAATAGAATAATATCTTAATTATATATAATAAAAATTTGAGCTGATTTGGATTACTAGTTATCGAGATATATATTTTCAAATTTTAAATAAAAATAGCGAAAATTTTATAATAATAAATATAATTATAAAGAAGTAATTTTATTATTAACAGTTACAACTATCACCAACTAATTACTATAGCTACAATACTGGTCACTTCCAAAAGCACTCTAAACTTTGGCTTATTACAATATCTAATAACTAAATCATTGTTGGCAAAGCCCGCCGCCAATTCACAAACTCAGGATATACATTAATCACTCACTGGCAGTGTGATTTTTCAACTGCTTTCTCATCTCTATACACTATTCCTAACATAGCCACTAAACCATGCCCTAACTGTTCTCTCAATTCTAATATTATTAATAACAAATGTACTATCCTTATCCCAACTAGCTATGCCATTAAATTTCTTGGCTAACTTCAGCCTGACAAGTCCGTTAATTTCAATGCAAACCCTCTTGATCTTATATATTCAATTTAACTTCAAGATACTTCTTCAATTCCTACACCTCCAAATCTTTATATACAAACCTCACAAATTTCTTTCATATTTCTAACTAACTCTGCATCTAATACTCTTCAACAGCTTGCAAATTTCAACCATCATTCTACTGATATTATATTTTATACAGATGGTTCTGTTGTTAACTTTGAAAACCTCCAATGCTCTATGGAAATTGGTTGGCTACAAGTAGATAACAATAATATCCTTCACATATTCCATACACAAATCTCACTATGGCCATGCTCTTTTAAGGTTGAATTGCTTGCAATTCTATTTGCAATATGCATTGCTCCTAGAAATTGCAATATTCAAATCTTTACAGACTCTTAATTAGTTATATCTAAGTACCATAGTCTAATGCAGCAACCTACCAGTTCTCATTCTTCCAACACACCATACTGGCCTATAT